CTTGACTCAGTAATGCTACTTATAGAAACTCACCTTATAGGTGTATCTGCATCTGAGTGAAATCACACAGATAAGGGATAATTGCAGCACTGCTCAAATAGCAAAAGACTGGAAACAAATATTCTTCAGTAAGGCACTGATTAAATAATGAACTACCCAGACACAGTAGTGAAAAAAGCAATTAGTGTTTATAGTACACTACCAGGTATGTTAAAAAAAAATGAGTATATATACTTGTATATGCTTATGTATGCACTGATAGTGCATATAATCAATACAAGAAATAAGTTACATTTGGGAGAAGAACAGAGTGGCTCAGGGAATAAAGGATAAGAAGGGCAGTTGTTTTTCACTGTATACCAATTTTTAACTTTTGAATTTTATACTATTCAAGCAATTTTATAATTAATGCAAGGTCAAAAAATGCACAATCTTCAGCCTAACACAGGATCTGCAGAATCAGATTCTCTGGGGAAGGAGTCAGGGGCTGTGCAATTTTAACACACACAATGCATGATTCTCATGCAAACAGAAATCTGAGTACCCCTGACAGAGAGCATCATTAGTAATGTTCACTTAGCAAAGTAATAATAGCAACAATGATGTAAGTACTAATGAACACTTATTTAAAAAGATAAAGCCCAAGACACCACTGCCAACATCTTGCACAAGTTTTTCTGAAAAAAAAAAAAAAATTCCTTGGCACAACCAGGCATAGAAAGACTTGGCACCACAATGAAGCATTCCTTGTTCTCTCGTGTTCGGTTTTAACCACTACTAATAACTTTGCCGACTTTTTACACTTTGCAAAATGCTTTACCCTCATCTTTTGTGCCAGGTAACGGCATTAACAAGCCTTACTTGGAGTTCCATAAGTAAATTGCTCAAAATTCCTTCAAACTCTTTCCCTTACTTTCCCGGCTAACTACACCCTACCTTCCGTGTTCTAAAGAAACGTGTTGTGGGAAGAAATACATTAATTAACTAGGTGTCTTCAATCCAGGTAGACCTATATTGCAAATCACAGTAACAGATTTCTGAGATGCTGGGGGAAAGGACCACCACCTAGCCTCATGTCTCAGGCAATTCTGGCTTCCCTTCCACGTTCTTCAGTTTCTTCCCCTTTAAATCGAGATGAGAAATAGTATGATGGAGAGAGTAAGAGCACGAGCTTTGGAGCTGGACTGCTGGGGCTCAAATCCTAGCTGTGCAACTGTGTAACCTTGGGCAAGTTTCTTCTCTGTGCCTCTGCAGACACATCTGTAAAATGGGGATAGCACCACTTCATTCCCTTGGGATGAGGATTACATGTATGGACATATGTGCAACACTTTGTACAGAAACTCTATGTCTGAGCTAGATAAATATTTGCTATTTCAGACCAGTCTTGGAGTGTTAAAGGAACAGAATTCACAAAAAGAGAGGTAAAACCCCAAGGAAGGGGTGGAAAGACACGGAGGAAAACGCTCAATGGCTAAAGAGAAGACACAGAAGGCAAACAATGAAAATCTGGTTGTTTCCAAGAAATAAAAAACCAACTGCAAGATATTGAAGCAATGGGCCAAGCAAAGCAAAGCTGTTTTTTCCTTGTTCTGTGGACGGCTCAGCTGCCAGACATTTCCATTTTCCGGTCTGGGCCTGTATCGCTGTATTAAGTTTTGTATCGGGGCCCCAGACCAAGCAGGTTCGGCATGAGGGGTTAGGGCAGTACCTCTTACAGAGCCCCTATGTTCACGAGTATGACCAGGCTTCTCACCCTCTGTGGCTTAAGGCCGCAGGCAGACAGCACGTGCGCTCTGCAGACCAGAACCGGTGGTGGTGAGAGGACTGGAACACTGCTACAAGGAGTCCAACTCCATCAGTTTCCCACAGGCACACCATCGCCTCGGCACAGAACCTGCACCTGGGCCTGTGGGCAGCAAATGCTGATGGGAGGGACCTCCGAGCAGCCATGCTGCCTGATTTCCACATTTTATGGTTGCTCAGACAGAGGTCCAGAGCGAGGAAATGACTTGCCCCAAAATGAAGAGATACCACATCATTACCTTACCACAGGGAACCACTGACAACTGAAATAAAAGCCCTTCCACTAATTAAAGTACTATTATTTCATCTTTAATTGTATTTAGGCTATTTTTTAAATGTCCACTCTTTAAAAACAAAACAAAAAAAGGTTCCAAGTGAGTTTCTCTTTTAACTAGGACAGTGTTAATTAACAGCAGCCTCTCTGGGCTAGCTCCCAAGCAGGAAAGCACAGCGCAGACCAGCCGTCCTACTGGTTCTTGGGTGCAGTGTTGGGAGATGCGAGTACCTGATGGGAGCGTGGTCACTTGCTCTAATGTCTACCTCGGAGGTTCAACGTGCACCTGCCCCTTCCTAACTTTCCTTGAGAACCTCTGCGTTAAGTATCAACCATAAATTTTATCCAGAGCCCCTACAAACTTACTGAGGCTTTCAGCCCTCAGTTGACATCTGAACCAGTCGGAGACACCATAGGATTCCTCTGCAGGTCCTACAGATGGATCCCACCTGGTCCCGGACACCCCAGCACCCCCGCTGCAGCAGCAGGTTCGGCCACACAAAATTCATCTCAAAGCCTCCAGTAGCCAGAGCTGTAGGTACCAAATTTTTACAACAAACCCTGTTTTTGAAAAATCTGGTCTAACAAATGTATTGATATTTCTGATTTAAAATAATTAAATTCGTATCTGACTGCCCATCAGAGCTTCTGAACAGGGGATAGGTAACGATTGTTGCCAAGCAGACTTGTTTATTTCAACCCAGAAACAAAATGCATTTTCATCAGCAAGAGCTGCCTTACCCTGAATGAATGTTTGATCCCGCTGCCGACATGGCCTCGCCTACACAGTTATTTCCTCCTCAGAGCCACAGATTCGAAGACCCCATGGAAAATGCCAGGACGTCGAACTGAACACACCACAGCTGCCACACTGCCCCGAACTCCCAGCAGCCTGGAACCTGGCCCAACCACCAGAGACGTACTGCATTGCCCTCCCAGCAGCTAATCTAGCTATGAGCTGAAATTGCATCAAGTTTCCAAGTACTGGGGAAAACATTTCCCATGAGCAAGAAGTTAATTTATTTGCAGGGGGAAATGAATGGCTCCCTTTGCTTTCCTGACCCTCCCACCGGCACCGGGAAACACCACAGTGACCCCAGAGAGAGACCCCAGACAGATCCTTCAGTTATGTAAGGTGGCCTGAAACTGACAGGCGACAGTAATTCTGCAACCCGTGGTAATGGGTCCTGAGGCTGAGATGCACCATCTATTTAAATGCACTCCCTTTAGAGACAGGACTTGTTTTTTGTAGGTCACACTCTACCGGAGTAGTGCTGACATCACATATTTGAAACAAATTATCCAAGTTCTTTATACAATCACAGGTGAGAAAGTTATTGTTTAAAGGCCTACTTTAGGAGAGTTCATGGTGTTAGGACAGGCTACATACATACACATACAGGCAGCCCCACTCCCCTCATTCTTGCTGCCTGTACTTTATGAAAAGCTTGAATTCCTTCCCTTTTGTGTTCTTTTAAAAAAAAAAAAAAAGCGAGCTTTAGCAACCCAATGGTGTGCTGGGTTTGGAAGCAGCAACCTCTAAGACATCCACAGGAAAAAAGATTATTTGAAAGCCCCAAAACGAATAATTCATTTTCCAACCAACTCTTAACTCTTATTAACTCATTTAACTCAACTCTTACTCTCAACTTATTAACTCTTTAACGAACTCCCAACCCACCTGAAGCACTCAAAGTAATGAGAATCAGAAGAGAAAGAAGAGGAAGAAAATAGTCGAGTAACAATTTTCTTCTGCTCAGACTAACCCTATTCTTTTAAATAGTCAGCCAAACTCAGCAGACTGTCTCTCCTATGCCTCCTCCCTCCATCCCTCCAACTCTGCCACGCCCCTGGGCTGAGGAAATCCCTCATTTCACTCACCCCACACTTGTTCAGAAAGTGCAAGCTGAGTCAAGGGACACCATACCCTCACAGACCATAAACTTCTGAATACCCCACGGGGAGTAAGGTATTCCAAACCCCCATGTGGTTAAAGCACTTGCCACCCTCCCTCCAAGTCAGCACTTAATGCTTACTCTGTGCCCACACTGCTCTGGGCAATTCACACGGGTTATCTCATTTAATCCTGAGAGTTAATATGCTAACTGGACTGATTTTAACAAGGAGGAAAAGGAGAATGGGGTAACTCACCCAAGGTCAGAGAGCCAGTGCAGGCAGAGGAAGGACCTACCTGAAGCCTGGCAGTCTGACTCTACCAGATCATTCTTCTAGCCCACTCTAGAGGTATCAGGGTGCACGTGGGACTCTGTGGCTTCCCTGGACACATATACCCCTCAGTTCGGAGTCTCACTTGCATTACTACCCACCACAAAGCAAGATTACACCCCCTTGGAAGACTCAACATAGAATGACTGTCAGTGCACAAGAAAGAAATAAAACATGTCCCACATTTCAGGAGCCAAAATAAAATGCCAGAATCCTGGTTTTCTGTTGTGAAACAGTCTCCTGGTTTTCTGAAATCCAGAGACTGTCCAGATCACCTCCTACCTTCTGGAGAGTGTTAAGGACTTCAACCTCAGATGAGCTGGGAGACTTTGGTGGCAAGAGGAGAACTAGAAGGGAAAACAATTGTTTCTGGGTCTAAGAGTGTCTTTCCTTCAGAGAGAAAGACTCTGGACTCTGTAAATGTTTTCAAGGATGAGTCCCTACAAACAATGCTTATAATCTCAGATACTGTCATGGACATGGGTCCTTTTCACTTGTAAAAGTCATCCCCAATGCTAACTGAAGGTGCTAACTCCATGTGCCAACTTCAAATAAACCAAGGAAGAAAGCAGCTCCAAAAGGACAATTCATTGGAAGTTGAAAAGGCAATTTGCAAACACCATGTGCACTTGTTTTATGTATCTCTAGCCACATACAATATCCAAATGAAACTAAAAGGGAAGGAACTCACTGTACAGAAGACAAAACAATACCCTTTTTATTTTTGAAACTTTGGAGAAATGTTTCCATACGCCATCCCATTTTTTTTTAAAAAATTAATGTAAACCAACCTGCCTGTGGGTCAGTCACGCTATAGACTTCATCGTAGTGTGTACAGATGCCTAGAATATTTACAAATGTTATCTGTTAGGTAGTCAAGTTTTGTTGCAATTTTTCCAGCACGTATTCCACAGTAAGAATGAAGAGGGGATCCTGGTGTTCTTGTATAAAAATTCTTAACAGATGGTTAAAGGCAATTTTCCTGAGAGAAGATTTGTTCTTGAAATATTTTTTCTTTCACAAATGGAAATATAGAAATGGGATGCAGTTGTAGAAGAAGGCTAAGAATGTCTACGTTAACATTTTTTTCTTTTAAATTATTTAAGTACCATTAAGTTAAAATGTTTACATTCATTATAAAAAAATGTTGTTAAATCTTATGCAAATGATTTAACACTGATTGCTGCAACGCAAATTGCACTTTTTAAAAAATTATTGTTTACATGGAAGAAAAATATCTTGTTTGCTACCCTGTTTACAAATCCCGACTGACTGCAGATCAGTCACACAATATGCACTTTGAGAGAACGTCAGTCACAGTGTACATTAGTCATAACGCAGTCTTGCGAACTGAGTCATGGTTCTGACTCAGCCTCCAGAGGTGTGTGTACCAAATGGCCTCAAATGGTCTTCTCCATGAAAGCAGGTGAAATTCAGGTGTGGAAAAGGTACGAAGAAATTCTGAACAACCAAAACCAATCAGAAGAAGCACGTGATTTGGGGCAATACACATAAAACCTTTTCAAAAAAAAATTTTTCTCTCAATATTCCTTCGCAGGCAAGGCCCCAGTCCTAGTCCCAGTTTCAGGAAGTGGCGCGGCAGACATGAGGTGCCCCTGGCAGGCCCAGAGGCAGGCTGGCTGGAAGGGGCCGTGGGCAGGGAGGAGGCAACAGGCTGTGGGCTGCACCAGCCCTTCCCTGGAAGCTCTCCGTCTTTTCTCGGGCTCTTCAGAGACGGGGGTAGGGTGGTAAGGCAGAGCAGGCCTCGAGGGAAAGGAAAATACATCTCTTTCAAAGTAAAGGCACGGAAATCACACATCAGAGGAATGTTCCATCAGCATGCTCCCCCTGGTGTGGCCGGCTTGACCCAATGCCCACAGGCCATGCGGCCTCCTGCTCCTGGGCAGTGGGCTCAGGCCAGGGCGAGGGCACACCAGGAATCCTGTCTCACCGAAGATGTGACTTCGGCCGGCGAGGCCAGGCTGACGCCTATGTACAACCCATCTTGACCTGAGTACTTGAGCTCGCTGTTCTCGGGATTAGTGCTCTCTCCTGTGCCAGACATCACCGAGGCGCCCGCCTGGCGGAAGAGAGGAACAGAGAGTGAAAAGAGAAGGGGAGAGTCAGTTATCCGTTAAGTCTGTCAGGCGGCACTCTCCTGCAAGGAAAAACCTGGGGACAAAGGAAATGGGCAGTGGGGCCAGCCGGAACATAGTGCCGTTGGCCTCAGCCTGGCCGTGTAAACTCCTAAAACACTTTCCTGTGAACTTTGGAGCTCATGGCAGCAATCACCCAGCAAAATGCATGGCTGGACACAGGCGGGAGGCCTATTTGTAAGAAAGCACCGAACTCTGAACTCTGAGAGTGAGACAAACCACATCACCTGGGGGAACAGTCTCCATGATGCCCACACAATCTACGCATTTACAGAGAAAACAGAGTACACTGCACCCCCCACCACCACACACACACGCAGCAGAGCCACCGCTTAGTGCTTATGCTGGAAAGTCTAAGATAGAAAAGCTATGTACCTCAGCAAGGCCTAATAAATGAAATTTTTGAGCACCAACTTCATGGAAAATTAACTCGTGCGTACACAGGTTTTAGTATCTACCGCATTTATCTTTAATTCTTGCAAGGAGAACGGGCCGTTTTGAAAGCAGAGCACAATATAAAGAAAATACTAACACCCAGTACCTGTCATGATTGTGGCCATGATTTGTTGAAGCTAAAGGTCACTGTTCTCTTGTTTCATTCCTTCCCTCCATCCAAATGAGAAAAGTCAAATAGAAAACATGATGTAACTCAGTAGAATCAAACCAAAAGAACTAAAATCATGTTTAGACTACAAGTTGAGAAAAGTTGCCTTTGACTTAAAAAGAAAAAAAAAAATATCTAGCCATGACTAGCATGACACCCAGGCAGGTCCATGTGGCTCTGAGGACAGGGTCAGTGTCATGAACAACACCCAGAAAGACAGTGCCCCGTCCACACACAGCGCCCCTGGAGGTTGAAAAAGCTCCAGTATGTCAACAACAACAACATGTCTCCCTGGAGCATCCTTACCAATCTGAGCTCAGGCACACACACCACCTCCAGTGTAAGAACTCAGCCCGTACACATGCATCAGCCACAACACCCACCTGCAGAACATTCCACGGTTCCCTCCAGCGACACGCAGTGCTGACAGCCAGGTGCAGGAAACACATGATGTTTCCCTCAGCATTTATATGCATGCTGTGCCTGGTTAAGAAGTTAAGGATCTAGGGGCACCAGGTGGGGTCCTGGGATCCAGTCCTGCATCAGGCTCCCTGCTCAGCAAGGTGTCTGCTTGGCCCTCTCCTTTCGTCCTGAAAGCCCAGAACCTCGCTGTAAGTCAGACAGACTAAATGAGCTCACAGAGAATTGCAGTCCAGAGCAGGCTCAGAAGACCTGCACGGCATGAAGAGGAGGAGCCTTGCTAGGTCAAGTCTGAGACGGACGCCCCTAGGGGGCGGGGGGTTGGGGGGTACAGCATCTTCAGTCTGTCAACAGACCAATGTCCCTTCCATGATTTAGACAAAAGCATCCTGAAACCTGAGAAGCTAGCACCTAGGGAAACTGAGTGAGGGGTACAGGAGCCCTCTGCATCACCTTTGCAACTTCTCTATAATCCTAAGATCACTCCAAAATAAAGTTTATTAAAAAATTTAAAAATAGGAGCACCTGGGTGGCTCAGTGGGTTAAGCCTCTACCTTCTGCTCAGGTCATGATCTCAGGGTCCTGGGATGGAGCCCCGCATCAGGCTTTCTGCTCAGCAGGGTGCCTGCTTCCCAACCCCTCTCTCTGCTGGTCTCTCTGCCCACTTGTGATCCCTGTCAAATAAATAAAATCTTAAACAAAGATGCCTGGGTGGGTGGCTCAGTCAGTTAAAGCTTCGGCCTTTGCCTCAGATAGTGATCCCAGGGTCCTGGGCAGTGTCCTGCATCGGGTACCCTGCTCAGTGGGAGCCTGCTTCTCCCTCTGCCTGCCTCTCCCCCTGCTTGTGTTCCCTCTCATTTCTTTTAAAATAAGTGAAAGCTGAAGATTAAAAAAAAAAATCTAGCCATGATTCCATACTTCAATGAGAGCTTTTCCTCCTAAAAAACTCAGAAGTCTGTTATTTCTTCCTAGCTTTCAGGGCTTTATCCCATAAATTACTGAGTATTTGCTTTTTGACATAGGCAGAATCAAAAACATCCCTTTGTCTGGCTGAGCTGATGTGACATCTACTTCAGACAAACGTTTGAGGCACCAGACACGGGCTGCACTGAACAGAAGGTTCTCTGAGCCCCTTTGGCTCCACTCAGGGCCTGGAAGTCAATGTGGTTCTGCTCTTCAAAGAACTAAACACCTCGTTTTCTCTCATCCTCACGATAACTCCATGAGGCTGGGAAGGAGGGCTCTAGGAGATCTGGCCATGGGAATTCCTAACTGCCCATCCCAACTTCCCCATCCCACCCCTCACAGGTAACCAACCAATCCTTCCCTTTCCTGGCGAAAATAAGGGTTTGTAAAAATCCAGCCACAACAGTACCACCACACTCCAACTTCTTTTTAACATGAGACTTAAACTGAGGGCTTTGGAAACTCCACTGTGAGCAAACCCAACATGGACCCAGATTCACCCCCTGAAGAAATAATAAACAAAAGAGTGACATTCTACTATGAAAGGACTTATTTGAGAAGGGAGCTACTAGATAATAAAAAGAGTGCAATTATAAATGATTCGTCACATCCATCCAACCTCATACTGATCTACCTAATCCCAGAAAAAGCACTAAATCTGACAGCCAAGTTTATTTTCTGAAACAAAAAGGGAACCTGGACTGGCCCAGGAAGCAGGCTACCTCGCCTCGCCAGACATGCGGAGATGGCAGAGAGGTCAGGCAGCAACAGGAAACATTAGCAAGGTGCTTCTGAGAGCCAGGCACTGGGACACCATGAGCCCCAAAGAGACAGTCAATCCCTGGACAAGCTCCCCGGCCACATACACACTGGATAGTAACAATCATCAACTACCTATCATGAATGACAAATGAGTGGCTAAGATATGGAGGTGGGGCAATAGGTCAAAAAAGGAATCAGAGGGGCAGGATTCCTGGGGACGGACCGCATGCAGCCCTGGTTCGGCCATCTACTGAGTAAGGTCACCGCTTCTCCAAGCCTCCTCCCTGGGTGAACTTGCCTTCACATCACCCATCAGGCAGGGCTGTGAGGATTCAGTGCTTCTAAAAGATCAGCGTGGTGATGCCTTACAGTGCACGTAGGACACACCAGAGGCCTTCTGAATCAGGAGGATAGGCAAAGGAGGCAAGGAGACAATATGGGAGGTAAACCAGAAGGCCAGACTTAGAACTCTCTATGCCTCAGCTTCTTACCTAGAAAACGGAAATTTTTTTAAAGTATTTTATTTTACGGAAAAAGAGAGAATAAGCAGGGGGAGCAGCAGAGGGAGAAGGACAAGCTGACTCTGCGCTGAGCACAGAGACCAATGTGGGGCTTGATCCCAGTACCCGGACATCATGACCTGAGCCGAAATCAAGAGCCAGACGGACACTTAATCAACTGAGCCATCCAGGCACCCCTAGAAAATGAAGAGGCACCTATGTCCTAAGGTTATTGCAAGAATTAAATTCATTAACATACATAAAGCATTGCCAACAGTTTATCTGACAACAGAAGGATGACACAAGTATACAATACTGTTAGTATTTTATTATTCTTGCTAAGGAGCATAGACCTAATTTAATCTCCCCAAGTCTGCCCTTCACCAGGTGAGTTACCACCATCACTTAGCAGGAGCAGAAGGGGAATTCATTCAGAGCTAAGTGAAAACCATCTACTTCAGCAATGACTTTCTTCTAATTGTTACTGACAACTCTTCAGGGGAGAAAAAAAAAAGTTGCCCCCTTAGCCTTTCAAAAGGCTCATGGGCCTTCTTCAAATAAACTACATTAAAGAATCCTAGTATCTTGAACATTATTCTTAACACTTGAGCATTAATTCCAAAAGCTACCAACTCAAGTACCTATTGTCTTCGTTGTTCAGTCAAAAAATGTTAAGCTATATGGCAGACCAGGACTCCTGCATCAAAGGACAGGCAAACCCCAAATTACATGAGTGACCCCTATCAGCTCATCTGAAATCAAAAGCAACACCTGACTTTCTCAGGACAAAATGGAATAAGTGCTTGTGCCAACACTGGAGAACCTTATTTGTAACTATTTAAACATGAAATACTGCAACATACAGCTTTTGTGTATCAATCATACCTTAATTAAAAATGTTTATATAATGATACATAATGAGATCATAGTGATGAAATGAGACTGTTGATAACCCCAGTCCCCTCATCCATGACCAGTAGGGCTATATTCTGGTATATGCCTTGGAAGGCAGTTAGCAAAGCTACCAAGAACCTTATACCCCACTTAGCTCTGTAATTTCACTTCTGGTAATGTGTAAGAGAGAATTCAAAGGAAGGGAAAGGCTCCACAAGGGAAGACATCCATTGCAGGTTAACTTGTAATAGTGGAAACCATGGAAATAATCTAATGCCTAATAATAAGGGATGGTTTGGAAAAGCAAGGTACATCCGCTCAATGAATTATTATGCAACTATCAAAAATAGTAAGATCACAGAGCGAAGCGGAAAAAATCCTGTAATGCAGTGTTAACTGAAAAACAGCAGGATATAAATTCTGTCATCATTACGATTTATGCACATATGAAAAGTATTTCAAGGAAACCCAGTAGCATGTGTAGACAGAAGACCATCTATTAGCCATCAGTACCTTCCTTTGAATATTTTAACTGAATGGCACAAGGCGTCTAACTTTGGGGAAGGATTTTGAAAACATTAGCACCAGAAATACAAGCACTTGAGGGATGAGCCAGACTGGAAAGAGTCATAAAGTAGCATGAAAAAATAGGGAGGAATCTGAGTGGGGGCACTAAGTGGGACCAGAAGGGGCCCCCATGCACCCCCTGAATGCATCTCCATCCATGCCACTTGCCACCGGCTGGACCCTGGCTGATGGGTGCAACGTGGTTCCAGGT